TGTGTGGACTTCAACTCCCAGAATTCTGGGAGTTGAAGTCCACACATCTTAAAGTTCCCAAAGTTGAGAAACACTGCTACAGAGAGTAAGGAAGATGATCTTGACAGATAGGCTAGATCCATTATCCAGGCAACAAGGAGGAAAACATGGTTTAAATCCAAAACGAGAAGAAGGCATGAGCAAAAGACTCAGGTAGACACCTCCCTAATTCATATGAACATAAGTGGGGGGGGGAGGGGAGTAAAACACAGTCAGACTTGCAAAATTCTGTTACTATAGCCAATATTAATAAACATAGTTCTAACTGTGTGGAGTTGATTTTTGGTTTGGTTTACAGAGTGGGACTGACCAGGGCAGCTGATAAGTAATGAATAAATGACATCCCCCATCAGCTAAAACCAGTGAAAGGGCTAAAAAAGTGCCCGCTCTTCTCCAGCAACGTTTTTGCATTACTGTACTGTACTAAAATGACTCTTGATCCCTTAGAAATTGCTAATGTCTGCTCAGCACCGTGAGATTTCATTGCAGATCTGTAGTATTTCTCCTTGAAAGACAAGTTCTGAATGTCTGCGGTTGTCAAACATGACTTGTGGGGTCAAAATGGGGGGGGGGGGCGCGATTCTTATCTTTCTCCCCTTATCTTTCTCCCCTTTCAGAAATGCTGAAGCTAGAACTGGACGAAGAGGGAGATGCATATCTTTTACCTGGTAAAACCGTATGAACCTACTTGTTCAATAAAAATACTTCTTTCTTGTCACGGTTATGCTGAGATAGGCAGGCCAGAAAGTGAAAAGCGCAGGGCGCAGAGTTCCAGGAAATCTCTGGTTTTTTCCCCAAAGGGGAGCCCTTCTCAGAAAAATATATTTAAAGGCATAAAATAAAATGCACAGATATAGATTGGGTTACCAAGGAGACCAATTATGCTCAAATGCAGCTGTCGAAATATTAAAAAATAAATAGGTCAGTATTATATGTGCTTTATTAATCCATGAATTCAACAAAACAATACCCTTTTTATAGAGTGTAGTAATTTTTGATAGTGAGATCTGTTGAAGTTAACGAACATTTTTGGAGACTAGAAGCCATTAATCCCTTTGTTGCCTACATAATCAAATGAAAAGCTCAATTTCAGTCAGAGGTTAGCAAAAAATAAAGTTGTCATTGTTTTCCCATCCAAATTCACCGATCCCCTGAAATCTATGAATCCCTGGCTTAGATAGAAGGCCAGTCTGCTCCCAGAATGTTGGGTTCTGCACGCAACTAGCCATGAATGCAGGGTGAATGCATGCAACTAGCCATGAATGCAGGGTGAATGCATGCAACTAGCCATGAATGCAGGGTGACCCAGGCTGGGTGGCCCCTGGGCTTCCTCCTTGATGCTTTTTTCAGGAGGTGCCAAAGGTTGCTAAGCATTTAAGGTGGACATGAGTAGCTCATCAGTGTCGTCATCTCCCCCCTCCCCATAGAAAAATTACTGTCCTTTGTTTAGGTGGAAGGATGGTGGTTTCATTAACTTTCTTTTCCTGTTATATCGTTCCTTTTTGCCTGGGCTGTTTCTTTTGTGATTTTTTTTTCCTCTTGTTAATAGCCCCCCCATTTTGGAGTATCTGAAACTTGGAGGTTCTTTAATATTGTCTCTTCTACCTCCGTGTTCCAATTAAATGCTCCTGGGTGGATGAGTGCAGAGTGAACAGACAGATGAATGGAATGAATTTCCGAATAATATTTTTTTGTGTATTTATTTATTAATCACATTTATATGGCCACCCATCTCACAAAAAGCGACTCTGGGCGGCGTACAACAATTGAATAAAACAGCAAATACATAAAAACCATCATTATAAAAATAAAAAGGGTCATTATTAAAAATGAAAATATTATAAAAAATTGAAATATAAATATAATATTTTATATAATATTTTCTCTTTTTTCCTCAGGAGGCCGAGAAAAGTCAGCATGGTACTCTCGCTTTCTCCATTCCTGCAGAAGGACTGGAGAGGGGCTGGCTTTGCCCCAGTTTGCTCAGGTGGGGACATTCAGGTGGCAATGGGGAGAAGCCAGTGACCGCAAAGAACGAATCTTGGAATGGCTGGCAGTTCTTCTAGAGCAGTGTTTCTTAAAATGAGGTCCCAGGATCCCTGGGGGTCCCCCAAGACCCTCTCAGGGGCCTGCAAAATCAAAATTATTTGCCAGCCTAAGTTGAAAAATATTAAAATCCCATCAAACTATCGTGAGAAGCAGTAGCGGCAGTGAATGCGTCCATTTTAATTTTTAATATGGTAAATATCGATAAATATAACCCATACAAACAAAAGCTCTTTGGGCGTCCTCCATAATTTTTAAAAGTGGGAAGGGGTCCTAAGGGAAAAAAGTTTGAGAAACCTTGTTCTAGAGTAATTAACCCCAATGGAAAAGGTTCTCCCCCAAGAAGGATCAATCGTACACCAATTTTGGAGCCTAGATGCTAGTGGCCAACAGTTTATTTTGTAACAGCTATTATTATCAACAGCTATTTTGTAACAGAAAAGAATATCTTTTAAAAGAATTGCATTTGTTTTATAGTCCCCAATTGTAAAAAGAAAAAAATGGGGAGGACATTGTAGATTCTAGTAGGTCCATGTCCATTTGTGCCCAGATACTGATGTTGGGCTTGACCTTTAGCCACACTAAAGGTGCTCCTTGGGAACTCTTAGCACCTGGAAGCCCCTCCCAAAGCAGTTCCAAGGGGGTGACATTGCCCAATCAAACCCCCTTACCCTAACCCTGGCATCTACAGAGGAGGGCCAAACTGAGGAAGATGGTGAGTACAGTGTGATCCAACCCCTTCCCCTCTTGGATGTGTGTCAGTGTCACGCAAATGTCCAAAAGGGGGAGGGTTGGATCACAACAACAAGCCTGCTATCTCAGCGATTTTGATACCATCCCCACCTTCTCCTCCACATATTGAGTGGAGGTGACCGGAGCCTGTTAGAAATAGAAAGGGCCTTCAGATTTGGCCCTACTATTAGGTGGGATGAAGCAGCTGCTTCAGACAACAAATTGGACCAAGCCACCATGCTTGAAGCAGCTGTTTTATTGAGCTTTAGGTGGGCTCTTCTCTGGAGCACGTTGATGGTCACCTTTCTGGTGTGGTTTGCAGGTCCTCAAAATAGTCTATTGGAAGGTGACCATAACTGCCAAGCCTCCTTCCAAAGAATTGCTCTAAGATCCCCTCAACATTTTACTTATTGGCCTCCGGCTGGCAGGAAGTAACAAGAACAGCCTCCTGTCTCAGGCAGCTGGTTTTCTAGGCTGCTCCAGTGACCCTTAATACTTGCTTTCTTCTCACTGTTATCTGCGATAGGATCTGTGAAGCAAAAAATAAATGCCTTCCCTTCCCCTGGGCTCTGATTCTCCCTGCAACTGTTTTTCACTTTAAAAGATGCTTATCTGAGCTTTCCCATGTGATGCCTAGAACGTAGCCTCTGAGTGGTAAACCCAAAACACTCTGCATGACTCGTTCCTTCAGAGATCACTCAAACTTGAGGGAACAGGTTGGGGACAAAGGGCTCCTGACCCAAAGAAAGGCAGAAGATGGCCCAAGAAGATTGGCAGTCCCAAAGAAGAGGAGAGGCCCCCCCTTGCTTCCTCACTCTCCAACTGCATCATAAAATATCACTTGGAGAGCATCATCAGAGCCACAAGATCGCTGGGGCCACCTCATGTTGGGTTGCTCTGAGGACTCTTCTACAGGGGGCTTTAGTGCTGCTCCAACATCTCTGCTCCACCTGCCGTCCTCCCGAGTTGACTTTCTTCCTGCTCAGCTGCCGAGCAACTCAAATGCCAAAAGATGGGGTGGCTGGAACTGCAGAGGGTTTGTGGATGGTCCCTTTCCTATTTCCAGGAAGCCCTGATGCCCCCGCCTGCCTGAACTTGGAGCTCTCTGGTTGATTTCCCAGGCAGACCCACCAGCGAGTGCTTGTCTCTGGTTGGCCCCCTCTCTCAGTCCACTGCATAGAACAGATGTGGGCTCAGATGACTTCTTTTTGTCTGATTTCTGCCCCGCTGAATACGCTTCTGGTCATTTCAGAAGCCTGTTTCCTTTGAGGAGGTCGTTGTGCGCTTCTCCAAGGAAGAATGGTCTCTCTTGGACCCCAGTCAGAGAGTCTTGTACAGGGAAGTGATGCAGGAGAATTACGAAAATGTGGCCTCTCTCGGTAAGAATCTCTTGATTTTGTTTCTTTCTTCTGCTGGCACTTTCCAGATGTGTTGGGCTACAACTCCTTTCGCAGCCATCTGTTTACTGGCTGGGGATGATGCAATACAGTTTAACACGCCTGGAAGGCGCTCAGCTGAATCATAGCATCCTTTGACCAAGGGAGGTGTCCTCAGCAACCCTGACAAATGGTGGTCCAACTTTTGCCTGTTTCTCCAGGGCTGGTGCCCCCATGATTCCAGGAAGCAGGCTGTTCCTCTGCTTAAGAGCACTCAAGGACAGGAAATTTCTCTTTATTCTGAGTTTGGATCCCTCTCTGTAAAGATTCCACCTGTTGGTCCTTGTCCTGTCCTTGGGCACTATGGAGAGTAAACCCACACCCTCTTCTTCCCTGTGACAGCCCTTCAAGTATTGGAAGACTGTTATCATGTCTCTCCTTAGCTTTCTCTTCTTTAGGCTAAATGTAACAATGTTTTCAGCCATTCTTCATAGGATTTGTCCTCCAGGCCCCTCACCATCTTAGTCCCTGAAAAATACTGGATTGCAGGCTTCAAGAAAATTAGCGTGGTTCAGTTTATGCTCTTTGTCGATTTGAGGAGTGAAAGTTCTTCTTTTTAGTGTTTTGTATTTTATCGTTCATCCATCATGGAATTCATCCAGTGTTCTCCCAGGAATTACTTTCAAACCTGCTTAGCTTCAGCAGTGTTGCTGTATCAGATCGGACCGTGCTCCTTGTGTTTAAGTGCGGTTCACTTTCATTCCACAGCTGTTTCTTTCACCAATCTGCAGCTTTGTGGTATTTTATTTTTTAATTAAAAAACCTGTCTTCATCTTGAGACATTCCAGCCAATTAGATCAAGTAGAGAGCCCAAGAACAATTGTTTTGCTGCAAGAAAAATATTTTTGCCTTCCTATCGTCACAAAGATAAATCTGGTCATAGAGCTTTATCAGGAAAAATCTATTGATTCAAATTTGCCTTTGTGATGTCATAAAGTCAAATCGGAGTAACAGTCTTGCTTTGTGACTTCTTTCTGAATGAGCTATGTATTGTCCTGTTTGGTGAGCCAACCCCCCTAAACATACTATTAAAATGTAGAAGTTTGGGGAAGTAAAATGTTTTCTTTTTTTTCGTAATACACAATCCCTGTTTCTGCCCAGAATGGTTTAATTGACTTAGATTGTTCTCCTCTTCCAGACAGAGCTAAGTCTCAAAGGTAACTACGGGGTACCTACAATAAAATCTTGATAGGGAGACCTATTCTAAAAAAGGTCCATGTTCACGAGACATTTTACTGCCAAAACAATTAGTAAAGAAGTGACATTCTGAATCCTATTTCTTCTACCCTTTTGCCCAAATTGTATCCTGTTAGAAAGCGAATCAGCGAACAGTATCCTCAATTAAGACATTTATTACTATTACTTTATCCTAATGTTGCTGTTACAGTGTTGTTGCTGTTTTTATACTGAAAAATATAGAAGGATGGTTCAATAAAACAACATAGATTTTATTTTCTTGGATGTGACTTTTGTCCTAGTTCTGTCCCTCACCAGTTTGGGTCCAAACTCCTGGGTGGAGGAAGAAGACGAGGCCGTGTTGGGTCTATGCTCTCAACGTTCTGAGAAAGGGGACCATCACAATGTCACCATTACAGGTGGGAGAAATGAAGTTGTGAGTCATCAACAGAAGCAAATGTGTGTAGCTCAGGGTTGAACTGTGGAGTCCTTGGGGTTCTCTGAGCTTGGTTGTTTTCTTGCAAACATTTCATTACCCCACTAGATAACATCTTCAGTGC